CCAGACCTCCACGAGCAGGGGGCCCGGGAAGGTGTCATGGTCCACAAGTCTCTCTGTGGAGGAAACCTCCATGTCTCCCGAGGCTGTTCCCTCCACTTCTCTGCCCCTGACTTCTTCACTCCACACCCCGGGCCTAGTGAAGACCACAGATGTGGGGGACACGGGCTCAGGAGCCCAGACCAGCTCACCTCTGTCTCTGAGCAGTGTCTCACCTCCATTCCTGGCCACCACTAGGGAGACCACGGGCACACGGAACACCCCTGCTTCCTCAGACAGGGCGGTGACCCATGTGGGCACCTCCACTTCCGGACACGGACACCCAACCACATTGCAGGCCATGGAAATCACTTCCGCCATGGGAACCTCCAACATGGGGCAGGAGGGTGTTTCTACACCAACCGCTGCCTTCCCCAGCACCGGGAGGGCTAACACACCACCGGCGTCCACTGTCATCCCTGGGCTAAGCGACTCCAGCACCCCAGAGGACACCAGCTCAGGCTCTGGGACAAGCACTGTCCTTCCTCAATGGCCCACTGGCGCTCCCACTAAGGTCTCCGGGACACAAGGCATCGCCTCCAGCCCCATGTCCACCCCACAGCCTGCTGGATCCACACAGTCCCCAACACCAGACATGTCAGCAGAAACCATCCCTGGGCTCCAGACCTCCGCCACCATGCCTGGCTCAGTGGAAGCGACCATCACCAGCCCAACAGCTCACTCCGGGTCCACTTCACAGGCTACCCCGACCTTGGAATCAGCAACCTCCTCCGCCTGGGAGACAAGGCCCTCGGCTGGGACCCAGGGATGGCCTCACTCACAGGGGGCCACCATCACCAGCAAGAGACCAGGGAAGGTGTCAGGGGCCACAAGCCACTCTATGGAGGAAACCAGCTCTGTCTCCTCTCTGTTGGCCTCCTCCCCTCCCACGTCCTCGCCTGCTCCTGCTTCCTCCATGTCACCTAAGGGTGCTCCCTCCACTTCTCTGCCCCTGACTTCTTCCCTCCTCACCACGGGAATGGTGAAGACCACAGACATGGCCGCCACGAGCTCAGGAGCCCAGAGCAGCTCACCTCCGTCTCTGAGCAGTGCCTCGCCTCCATTCCTGGCCACGACTAGAGAGACCACGGGGACACAGAGCATGCCTCCTTCCTCAGACATGGCGGCAACCCACGTTGGCACCTATACATCCGGACTCGGACACCGGACCTCTCTGCCGGCTACCCTGCAGGCCATGGCAACCATGTCCGCAACCCTGGGCACCTCCTCCCCTGTGGAGCAGGAGCGAGTTTCCACACCAACCGCTGCCTTCCCCAGCACCGGGAGCGCTCACACACAGCCGGCGTCCCCCGTCAGCCCTGGGCTCGGTGAGTCCAGCACCCCGGAGGACACCAGCTCAGGCTCAGGGACAAGCAATGTCCTAGATCAAGGGCCCACTGAAACCACTACTCAGGTCTCCAAGACACAAGGCATCTTCTCCAGCGCCACGTCCACCCCACAGCCTGCTGGGTCCACAGGGGCCACAACACCCGACATCTCCACGGAAACCATCACCGGGCTCCGGACCTCCACCACCACGCCTGGCTCAGTGGAACGGAGCATCACCAGCCCAACAGGTTCCTCCGGGTCCACTTCACAGGCTACCCCGACCTTGGAATCAGCATCCTCCTCCGCCTGGGAGACAAGGCCCTCAGCTTGGAGCCAGGGATGGCCTCACTCAGAAAGGGATACACTCTCGAGCTGGGGGTCTGGGAAGGTGTCAGGGGCCACAGGTCCCTCTATGCAGGAAACTAGCTCTGTCTCCTCCCTGCTGTCCTCTTCCCCTCCCACGTCCTCGCCTGCTGCTGCTTCTTCCAATTCACCCCAGGCTGTTTCCCCGACTTCTCTGCTCCTGACTTCCTCCCTCCTCACCCTGAGCCTGGGGAAGACCACAGATATGGCGGCCACGGACTCAGGAGCCCAGACCATCTCACCTACGTCTCTGAGCAGTGCCTCGCCTCCATTGCTGGCCACCGCTAGGGAGACCACAGGCAAATGGAGCATGCCTCCTTCTTCAGACACGGCAGAGACCCATATGGGCACCACCAATTCTGGACTCGGACATCCGACCTCTCTGCTGGCTACCTTGCAGTCCACGGAAACCATGTCCGCAGGGGGCACCTCCACCCCCGTGGGGCAGGAGCGAGTTCCCACACCAACCGCTGCCTTCCCCAGCACCGGGAGCGCTCACACACAGCCGGCGTCCGCCATCAGCCCTGGGCTCAGCGAGTCCAGCACCCCAGAGGACACCAGCTCATTCTCGAGGACAAGCACTGTCCTACATCAAGAGCCCACTGGCACTCCCACTCAGGTCTCCAGGACAGAAGGCATCTCCTCCAGCGCCACGTCCACTCCACAGCCTGCTGGGTCCAGACGATCCACAACACCCAACGTCTCCGCGGAAACCATCACCGGACTCAGGACTTCCGACATCACACCTGGCTCAGCGGAAGTGACGATCACCGGCCCAACAGGTGTCGCCAGGTCCACTTCACACCCTACCCCGACCTTGGCCATGGCAACCAGCTATGCCCGGGAGCCAAGCCCCTCAGCTTGGAGCCAGGGATGGCCTCACTCAGAGGGGGCCACCCTCACGAGCAGTGGGCCCGGGACAGTGTCAGGGGCCACACGTCCCTCTGTGCAGGAAACCAGCTCTGTCTCCTCCCTGCTGCCCTCTTCCCCTCCCACGTCCTCGCCTGCTCCTGCTTCCTCCATGTCACCCGAGGCTGTTCCCTCCACTTCTCTGCTCCTGACTTCTTCCCTCCTCACCCCAGGCCTGGCAAAGACAACAGATTCAGCAGCCACAGGCTCAGGAACCCAAACCACCTCACCTCTGTCTCTGAGCAGTGCATCGCTTCTATTCCAGGCCACCTCTAGGGAGACCACAGGCACACGGAGCATGCCTCCTTCCTCAGACATGTTGGCGACCCACGTTGGCACCACCACTTCTGGACTCCGACACCTGACCTCTATGCTGGCTACCACTCAGGCCACGGAAACCACGTCCCCAATGGGCACCTCCTCCCCCGTGGTGCGGGACCCTGTGTCCACACCAACCACTGCCTTCCCCAGCACCGGGGGCGCTCACACACAGCCGGCGTCTGCTGTCAGCCCTGGGCTCAGAGAGTCCAGCACCCCAGCAGACACCAGCTCAGGCTCGGGGACAAGCACTGTCCCTGCTCAAGGGCCCACCAGCACTCCCACTCAGGTCTCCGGCACACAAGGCATCTCCTCCAGCGCCACGTCCACCCCACACCCTTCTGGGGCCACACAGTCCACAAGACTCAACATCTCCTGGGAAACTATCCCAGGCCACCTTACCTCAGCCATCATCCCTGGCTCAGCAGAAGCGACCATCACCAGCCCAACAGGTCCCTCCGGGTCCACTTCACAGGCTACCACATATTTGGCCACAGCAACCACTGCTGCCCGGGAGGCAACGCCCTCAGCTGGTAACCAAGGATGGCCTGAATCAGAGGGGGCCACCCTCACCAGCAAGGTGCCCGGGACTTTGTCAGGGGCCACACGTCCCTCTGTGCAGGAAACCAGCTTTGTCTCCTTTCTGCTGCCCTCCTCCAATCCCACATCCTCGCCTGCTCCTGCTTCCTCCATGTCACCTAAGGCTGTTCCCTCCATTTCTCTGCCCCTGACTTCTTCCCTCCTCAACCCAGGACTGCTGAAGACCACAGATATGGTGGCCACGGGCTCAGGAGCCCAGACCATCTCACCTCCGTCTCTGAGCAGTGCCTCACCTCCATTCATGGCCACTGCTACGGACACCACAGGCACAGGGAGAACCCTTCATTCCTCAGTCACGGTGGCGACTCACGTGGGCACCATCACTTCCGGACTCGGATACCCGACCTCATTGCAGGCCACGGAAACCACGTCGACAATGGGTGCCTCCTCCCCCCTGGGGCAGGAGCGAGTTCCCACACCAACCGCTGCCTTCCCCAGCACCGGGAGCGCTCACACACAGCCGGCGTCCCCAGTCAGCCCTGGGCTCAGGGAGTCCAGCTCCCCGGAGGACACCAGCTCAGGGTCAGGGACAAGTACTCTCCTTCCTCAAGGGCCAACTGGACCTCCCACTCAGGTCTCAGGGACACAAGGCATCTCCTCCAGGGGCACGTCCACCCCACAGCCTGCTGGGTCCACAGGGGCCACAACTACCGACATCTCCACAGAAACCATCCCTGGTATCTGGACTTCCACCACCACGTCTGGCTCAGCGGAAGCGACCATCACCAGCCCAACAGCTCTGACCAGGTCCACTTCACAGACTACCCTGACATTAGGCACAGCGACCACCTCCACCTGGCAGACAAGGCCCTCGGCTGTTAGCCAGGGATGGCCTCACTCAGAGGGGGCCACCCTCATGAGCAAGGTTCCTGGGAAGGTGTCAGGGGCCACACGTCCCTCTGTGCAAGAAACCAGCTCTGTCTCCTCCCTGCTGCCCTCTTCCCCTCCCATGTCCTCACCTGCTCCTGCTTCCTCCGTGTCACCCAAGGCTGTTCCCTCCACTTCTCTGCCCCTGACTTCTTCCCTCCTCCTCCTGGGCCTGGTGAAGACCACAGATACGGAGGCCACGGACTCAGCAGCCCAGACTGGCTCACCTCAATCTCTGAGCAGTGCCTCGCCTCCATTCCTGGCCACTACTAGGGAGACCACACGTATACGGAGCATGCCTCCTTCCTCAGAAATGGCAGCGACCCTCGTGGGCACTGCCACTTCCAGACTCAGACACGCGACCACATTGCAGGCCACAAAAATCATATCCAAAGTGGGTGTGTACTCCCCTGTGTCGCAGGAGCGTGTTTCCACACCAACCATTGCCTTCCCCAGCACCAAGAGGGCTCACACACTGCTGCAGTCCGCTGTCAGCCCTGGGCTCAGGGAGTCCGTCACTCAAGAGGACACCAGCTCTGGATTGGAGACAAGCACTGTCCCTGCTCAAGGGCCCACCGGAACTCCCACTCAGGTTTCCAGGACACAAGCCATCTCCTCCAGTGCCACGTCCATCCCACAGCCTGCTGGGTCCAGACAGTTCACAACACCTGACATCTCTGCAGTAACCATCATCGGGCGCCAGACCTCCGCCATCACGAGCTGGGGTCCCAGGACGGTGTCATGGTCCACAGGTCCCTCTGTGGAGGAAACCAGCACTGTCTCCTCCCTGTCGGCCTCCTCCCCTCCCACGTCCTCGCCTGCTCCTGCTTCCTCCATGTCACCCGAGGCTGTTCCCTCCACTTCTCTGCCCCTGACTTCTTCCCTCCTCACCCCAGGCTTGCTGAAGACCACAGACCTGGTGGCCACAGACTCAGGAGCCCAGACCAGCTCACCTCCATCTCTGAGCAGTGCCTCTCCTGCATTCCTGTCCACCGCTAGGGAGACCACAGACATAGGGACCATGCCTCCTTCCTCAGACATGGCGGCAAATCACGTGGGCACTGCCACTTCCGGACTCAAACACTCGACCACATTGCAGGCCACGGAAACCACGTCCGCAATGGGCACCTCCTCGACCGTGGGGCAGGAGCGAGTTCCCACAACAGCCGCTGCCTTCCCCAGCACCGGGAGCGCTCACACACAGCCGGCGTCCCCCGTCAGCCCTGGACTCAGTGAGTCCAACACCACAGAGGCCACTAGCTCAGGCTTTGGGACAAGCACTGTCCCTGCACGAGGGACCTCCGGCACTCCTACTCAGGTTCCCGGAACAGAAGGCAGCTCCTCCAACGCCACGGCCACCCCACAGCCTGCTGGATCGAAACTATCTACAACACCCAACATTTCAGCCAAAACCAACCCCAGTCTCCAAACCTCCACCACCACGCCTGGCTCACCAGAAGCGACCATCACCAGCTCAACAGGTCCCTCTGGGTCCAATTCACAGGCTACCGCCACCTTGGCCACGGAGACCAGCTCTGCTGGGGAGGCAAGAACCTGGGCAGGGAGCCAGGGGTGGTCTCAGTCAGAGGAAGCCACCCTCACGAGCAAGGCGCCTGGGAAGGTGTCAATGGCCACACGTCCCTCTGAGGAGGAAACCAGCTCTGTCTCCTCCCTGCTGCCCTCTTCCCCTCCCATGTCCTCGCCTGCTGCTGCTTCCTCCATGTCACCCGAGGCTGTTCCGTCAACTTCTCTGACCCTGACTTCTTCCCTCCACACCCTGGGCCTGCTGAAGACCACAGACATGGCGGCCACGGGCTCAGGAGCCCAGAGCCCCTCACCTCCGTCTCTGAGCAGTGCCTCGCCTCCATTCCTGACCACTGCTACAGAAGGCACAGGCACTCGGAGCATGCCTCCTTCTTCAGATATGTTGGCGACCCTCGTGGGCACTGCAACCTCCAGACTCAGACATGCGACTTCTGTGCTGGATGCCTTGCAGGCCACGGAAACCACGTTCTCAATGGGCGCCTCCCCCTCCATGGGGCAGGAGCGAGTTCCCACACCAACCGCTGCCTTCCCCAGCACCGGGAGCGCTCACACACAGCTGACATCTGCCGTCAGCCCTGGGCTCAGCGAGTCCAGCTCCCCGGAGGACACCAGCTCAGGCTTGGGGACAAGCACTCTCCTTCCTCAAGGGCCAACTGGACTTTCCACTCAGGTCTCCGAGACACGAGGCATCTCCTCCAGTGCCACGTCCACCCCACAGCCTGCTGGGTCCACAGGGGCCACAACACCCGACATCTCCACGGAAACCATCCCTGGTATCTGGACGTCCGCCACCACGTCTGGCTCCGCGGAAGCGACCATCACCAGCCCAACAGCTCCATCCGGGTCCACCTCACAGACAACCCCAACCTTGGCCATGGCAACCACCTCCGCCTGGCATACAGGACCCTTGACTGTTAGCCAGGGATGGCCTCACTCAGAGGGAGCCACCCTCATGAGCAAGGTGCCCAGGACAGTGTCAGGGGCCACACATCCCTCTCTGGAGGAAACCAGCTCTGTCTCCTCCCTGCTGCCCTCTGCCCCTCCCAAGTTCTGGACTGCTCCTGCTTCCTCCATGTCACCAGAGGCTGTTCCCTCCACTTCTCTGCCCCTGACTTCTTCCTTCCCCACCCTGGGCCTGCTGAAGACCACAGATGTGGTGGCCACGGACTTAGGAGCACAGAGCACCTCACCTCCGTCTCTGAGCAGTGCCTTGCCTCCATTCCTGGCCACCACTAGGGAGACCACAGGCACACGGAGCATGCCTCCTTCCTCAGACATGGTGCCGACCCTCGTGGGCACTGCCACTTCCGGACTCCGACACCCGACCACGTTGCAGGCCACGGAAATCACTTCCGAAATTGGCGTGTCCTACCCTGTGGGGCAGGAGAGAGTTCCCACACCACCCGCTGCCTTCCCCAGCACCAGGAGCGCTCACACACAGCCAGCGTCCCCCATCAGCCCTGGGCTCAGTGAGTCCAGCTCCACGGAGGACACCAGCTCAGGCTCAGGCACAAGCACTCTCCTTCCTCAAGGGCCAACTGGACCTTCCACTCAGGTCTCCGAGGCAAAAGGCATCTCCTCCAGGGGCACGTCCACCCCACAGCCTGCTGGGTCCACAGGGGCCACAACACCTGACATCTCCACGGAAACCATCCCTGGTATCTGGACTTCCGCCACCATGTCTGGCTCCACGGAAGCCACCATCACGAGCCCAACAGCTCCGACCGGGTCCACTTCACAGACTACCCTGACCTTGGCCACGGCGACCGACTCCGCCTGGCATACAGGGCCCTTGGCTGTTACCCAGGGATGGCCTCACTTAGAGGGGTCCACCGTCATGAGCAAGGTGCCCGGGAAGGTGTCAGGGGCCACACGTCCCTCTGTGCAAGAAACCAGCTCTGTCTCCTCCCTTCTGCCCTCTTCCCCTCCCATGTCTTCACCTGCTCCTGCTTCCTCCATGTCACCCGAGGCTGTTCCCCCCACTTCTCTGCCCCTGACTTCTTCCCTCCTCACCCTAGGCCTGCTGAAGACCACAGATGTGACAGCCACAGTCTCAGGAGCCCAGACCATCTCTCCTCCGTCTCTGAGCAGTGTCTCGCCTCCACTCCTGGCCACCGCTAGGGAGACCATAGACACAGGAAACACCCCTCCTTTCTCTGTCACAGCGGCGACCCACGTGAGCACTGCAACTTCTGGACTTGGACATCCGACCTCTCTGCCGGCTACCTTGCAGGCCACAGAAACCACATCTGCGGTGGGCACCTCCTCTCCCGTGGGGCAGGAGCGAGTTTCCACACCATCCCCTGCCTTCCCCAGCACCGGGAGCGCTCACACACAGCCAGCGTCCGCCATCAGCCCTGGGCCCAGTGAGTCCGGCACCCTGGAGGACACCAGCTCAGGCTCGGGGACAAGCACTGTCCATGCTCAATGGCCCACCGGTGCTCCCACTGACATCTCCAGGACACAAGGCATCTCCTCCAGCGCCACCTCCACCCCACAGCCTCCAGGGGCAACAGGGGCCACAACACCCGACATCTCCTCGGAAACTAACACAGGGCTCTGGACCTCCGTCACCTTGCCTGGCTCAGCGAAAGTGACCTTCAGCAGCCCAACAGGTCCCTCCAGATCCTCTTCAAAAACGGCCCCAACCTTGGCCATGGGGACCACCTCTGCCTGGGAGGCAAGGCCCTCGGCTGGGAACCAGGGATGGCCTCACTCAGAGGGGGTCACCCTCATGAGCAGTGGGCCTGGGAAGGTGTCAGGGGTCACACGTCCTTCTGTGCAGGAAACCAGCTCTGTCTCCTCCCTGCTGCCCTCTTCCCCTCTGACTTCCTCTTCCCCTACCATGTCCTCGCCTGCTCCTGCTTCCTCCATGACACTCGAGGCCGTTCCCCCCACTTCTCTGCCCCTGACTTCTTCCCTCCTCACCCCGGGCCTGCTGAAGACCACAGACGTGGCGGCCACGGTCTCAGGAACCCAGACCACCTCACCTCTGTCTCTGAGCAGTGTCTCGCCTGCATTCCTGGCCACCACTAGAGAGAACACAGGCACACGGAGCATGCCTCCTTCCTCAGACATGGTTGTGACCCTCATGGGCACCACCACTTCCAGAGTTGGACACCCAACCTCTCTGAAGACTCCCTTGCAGGCCATGGAAACCACGTCTGCAGTGGGTGCCTCCTCCCCCGTGGGGCAGGAGCGAGTTTCCACACCACCCGCTGCCTTCCCCAGCACCGCGAGCGCTCACACACAGCCGGTGTCCCCCGTCAGCCCTGGGCTCAGCGAGTCTAGCTCCCCGGAAAACACCAGCTCAGGCTCAGGGCCAAGCACTGTCCATGTTCTAGGGCCCACCGGCACTCCCACTCAGGTCTCTGGGACACAAGGCATCTCCTCCAGCGCCACGGCCACCCCACAGCCTGCTGGGTCCAAACTGTCCACAACATCTGACCTGTCAGCCGAAACCATCCCCGGGTTCCAGACCTCTACCACCACGCCTGGC